AACAGAAGGCCACATCATCTTGGTCTTCCTATCTACGATTTAAAAGAGTTAAGCTAGCTTCCAAGGGACATCATTTCAGGAAGTGAATTATAGAAATAATGTGCCCGTAAAAGGACCGAATTCACCAGGTTAGGTAAAGCACAGGTGAGAATGATGGAAGGAATGATAGGATTATTTGTATTTTAAGGCCAAGGTGAGATATTAAGAAGTACAAAAAAAGAAAAGCTATTTATTGTATCATGAGTATAAAAATAAACTAGAAACCAATAGAGGCATTTTTGATTGACTCTATGATATTCAATACTCTCGCCACTGACGATGATAATTACAGAAAAAACAGAAGCTTGATGACGTACTCGGTGAAGGATCGCATGAGGAAAGAACACGAGCTCAGTATCCTCAAAAGCATAGCTATGACTTTTATTAAAAACTGGTCACTAAAAATGATAGTGGCGAAAAAGGAATCAGAGTAGGTTTATGAAAAGTTATATTTAGATACTTGTGCTATTTACTTGTAAGCTTAGGTAATGGGAAATGAGGGTAACGAATCAACGAATAATAAGGATGGAATGTGAGAGGAACAAAATCAAGGAGCCCAAAATTAGGTCCACTAAAAGATATTAAGCTTAGGGTCCTTTACAAAGTTTTTAAATAAAATACATTCCACAATAGCTAGCATTTTTATCAGTTAAAGGACATAATTAGAGAAACATTATCATCGAGACAATCTCATGTACACAAAGGTCATGGAGGTTATTGCTGGCTACTCTTTCAAGGCACAATTTGACCACACTTTCGCAAGTTACTTAAAATAATTCCTAATTTCAGCAGTTGCCTTGTTACCTTTGAGTGTCTTCTGCGATGGAATTTTAGTAAAACATTTTAAAAAGCATTAAAGGCGATTTAAAAAAGTCTTCAGTTAACTATAGAAAACGTAGAAACAAAATTCAGCAAAATAAATGTTAAAATCCGAAAGTAATGAGGCAAAGTGTAATATGGTATTCTCTATCAATAAATAATTAAAAGGAAGAAGCGATATCACCGCCATTTGGAAAAAAACAAGTCATGTATAGTACAATTTAGTAAGCCAAGTTCTAGAAAACTTTTAATTACAATGTGAAAAAAATGTCGATGCTAACTGTAGTCAGAGCAGGCTCTTAACTATTCACCTTGCGTTCGGTCATCGCCATCGTCACTGTTTCCAATGTTTGTGTGGCCACATCATGCAGTGATATTAAAGAGGAAAATCGATTCCCGTTTGAAATAGGCGTCGCGGCCAAGATGTCTTTAATAATCCCACCGGGGGGACCAGAAGTTAATCTAGAACTTAGAGTAGATGACTCAAGGGCTGGAGGCTGGAGAGCGGCGGAACGAAAAGCATCAGAGAATACAGATGGAATGAAGGAAAACAAGTGAAAAAGATAAGATGAGGCAGTGTTTTCAGACACATTGAGTGATGGTTTCACCTCGTTTCTTGTGGTTGCTAGTCTATCCAACTTCGTCAATACCTGGCTTTCGGAGCCAGCTTCATCTTCAGGTTCAGTCCCAAGGTTAGTTTGCATGGCTTCTTCTCCTGCTGTCGCGGAGGATGGTGACATGCACTCGCAAACCTGCATCAACTGGCGCCTTAGTTGGCCAGCTTGTTGACGGACTCGATAATGCAGACCAAGACCAACCATCAGAACCAAGAAGCTGAGTTCACCATACGAAGAGACTAGCCAAATTGGCTCAGATCCGACAACCGTCCTAGGTAAAGATGAGTCATCAGAAGAAGCAGCCTGGCCAAGGTGGAACTGTTTCGAGGGGGACTGATTGAGTTAAGAATAAAATTATGGCGATCGTGTGAGTTATCAATTCATCTAGAACTATTAAAATAAAAAAATACCAATGAAAAACTTAGTATAAGCCATCTATATAAATGTTTTCTAGATCTATATATAGTTCTAAAGTAGAAGAGGCAACAAAATAAAAATTAAGAGCCACAAGGTTCAAAATATTCGTCATTTTCTTATATTTCTGCAAGCTCCCTAAAGCATTCATACCAAATGCGTCAAAAACGACCTGATCTATTTGTTTTTCCCAGTATTTAAAAGGGTCGTAAATACGAGTTTGGAATGCCTAAAACTAGGTATATAGCAGAGGTATTGGAGGCAACCAAAACTTGACAGTTA